CCGTGCGAGCAAGTCTGCAACCAAGCAAGTCCACAGGCAGCCTGGAACCACATACCATTATCGCCTTGAGCAGGAAGGCAGCGCTCATGGTCCCACCACAGGCACCCGTGGCTCACATAGGGCAGGCCCTCGTGAGGGGCGAGGAATTCATGCACGCTCATTGGGTTGGGTACTCGCTCCTGTGGAATCACAAGCAATTGGGGGTCAAGGGAGAGGAGAGGAGGGAGTAGAGTGAGGTTGAGAGACGATGATAGGGCAGGCAGGCCGGCCCTTGTGAGGGGCGGGGAAGTCGTGCACGCTCATTAGGTTGGGTACTCGCTTCTGGGGGATGGCAGGATAAGCCATGCAAGGGCATCAAGGTGAGTAGGGCTAATCACAAAGAGGATTTAGAGACAGGTCTTCGTGAGGGGCAATCGTGCATACTCATGGGGTTGGCGGAAGGTAGAAGAGGGAAATCGAGGGAGTCGAGGGAAGTTGAGACAGAATCGTAGGGCAGGCAGGCATGCATGCCCTCGTGTGGGGCAATTTTTTAGACGTCTCAAAAATAAGCTCATTACACGAGGCAGGCATGCCCTCGTGTGGGGCAAGGAATTCATGCACGCTCATTGGGTTGGGTAATCGCTCCTGGAGGTAAAGAAACAGCGGGATGAAGGAAGAAGACAATAAAGGCACATCTGTGCACCTCAGTAGGGTGAGGTGAAGCAGGAGCAAGGACGTGGAAGAATTGAAAGCATGCCCTCATGCAGAGAGAGAAAGCGAGATGAGGAGTGTGCGGATGGGGGGGTGGGATGATGCTATTTTTGAGTCAACTCAAAAATAGAGTCGACTCAAAAAAAGAATGCCCTCATGCAGAGAGAGAAAGCGAGATGAGGAGTGTGCGGGTGGGGAGGTGGGATGATGCTTGCATGTGGACCTGGTCAAGCAGAAGCAGAAGGAGAAGGAGAAGTGTGCACTTGATGCTGATTCTTACTTGACCACTGATGAACATGAACTCATCAAAAGCAAGGTGCGTACGCCAGATGCTGGAGAAGGAGGAGTGAGGAAGCGGGTGCGGGTGTCGACGAAGTGGGTATGAAATAAAAGTGCTTACTTGACCATTAATGAAGATGAACGTGTCAAATGCAAGGTGTGTGTGCATACCAGACGCTGGAGAAGGGGGAGTGGAGTGGCAAAGGGCGTGCTCACCTGGCCATCAATAAACATGAACTCATCAAAGTCAAGTCAAGGTACATGAGCCACTTGGAGAGGAAGAAGTGGGTGGTACCTGTGTGGGTGTGTGTGGGTACCTGTGGGGGTACCTGTGTGGGTAGTGGGCTTACTTGACCATCGATAAAGATGAACTCGTCAAAGTCAAGGTACATGAGCCACTTGGAGAGGCGGCGAAAGCGGTACACACAGTCGTTCACTATCATCACCTGGTTGGGGGGAGAGGAGAGGAGAGGGCGGAATGGGTTGTTGATACACAACACACGGTGGTTCACTACCATTACCAGGTGGGAAGTGGGGGAGGGCGAAGGGAATAATGTGGCACTGTTCCACATCACTGTACCTCGGCTCCTGGGGTTTGTAGAGGTTGGGAGGCATTCCCAACTCGTAACTCTTCCTAATTTGTGTTCTAAGACTATAGTGGCTGCCATAGTGCCGTTGGTTCAATCTGACATTACATCGTCAATTCTTAATGAAATCGTCCTTCGTAACACAATGCAGGTACAGGTGATGGTCCTCTAGCCAAGACTCGAATTCGATCGGGCGCCCCTCTGCGTCAAACGTGAGTACAGTAATCGTCGCCATAGCAGACATGGGAGCGATTGACGGTACACTGGTGCCAGCGTTCATAGCAGGTGATAGGCAGCAAATGTTTAGAGATCGACATGGGAACCTTACTCAGAACGTCTTAGCTGCGTGTTCATTAGACGACATATTCATCTACGTGCTCGTAGGTTGGGAGGGTTCGACACATGACTATACTATCTTCCAAGATGCGGTCACGAAGGGTCTAACTTTGCCGCGAGGACCGTATTTCCTGGGCGACTCGGGGAACGACGCCCTACTGTCTAGCACCGTATCGATCAACCATGTATCACCAACAACGATGGCAGGATGCGGGCTTCCTCCCAAGGCGTTGGGAGGAGTTGTTCAATCATACGCATGCCACTCTTCGGTCGCACATCGAGCGTGCATTCGGCCATTTAAAGGCGAGATTCAGCATTTTGAAGTTCATGCGTCGCTATAAATACCCCGTCCAGTGCAAGATTGTCATTGTGTGCATGGTCCTGCACAACTCCATAAAGAAAGCATGAGGTTGTGATTTTTTGCGAAGGGGATGAGGAGAATCTGCAGGCACATGACGAGCGTGGTTTGCAGGAACGTGGCCTCACGGCAAGGGCATCCTCCGATATTGGGCGGCGGCGCCGGGAGTTGTTGGCTGACCAGTTATGGGCCGCGAGGCGCATAGGACAAGACACCGAGGTTTGACTCTTTGGAGCATGATCAGCTTAGATAAGATGGTCTATCCGTCGGGCATTGGATAATGGTGCATGATATTCAAGTCTTGTACAATCACAATGGTTAGCAATCAACATATAGTTTCAGCACTTAATAGAGATGTATAAGACACAACTTGAAACATGGTTAGCAACGTTACATCTTATGGTGTTCAAGGGGTGATAAAGTGTAGAGGTTCAATGGTATCAAGCACATACTCAATGGTACAGGCTTCGCATTACTCTCCCGAAAGGTGGCACTCACGCACATATCCATCACGTAACTCATCATCCATGGCCAAAAACTGCAATGCCTCAACAGGACGGGCCGCAAAACGCTGAGATGCTGTCAGTTATTTACCTAGGGTTGGGCCACGCATGGCGTTGACAATCTTCGTAGCTTCAACACACGGCGTGCAATCCCGGTCTGGAAGGTGCAGGGTATGGGAGGTGAAGGTATGGATTGGATGTAGAAATGCAATAGGTTTGAAGAATGACGCAAAAGGGGCCACTTGGGTAGGGTTATGGGACTTGGTGACCATGTGATTAGTGGGCTGCCCATGCTCACAGCGGTGACCATAGGCAGCAGTTAGCATGGTCACTCGGTGACCATGTGGTTAGTGGGCTGCCCATGCTCGCAGCGGTGACCATACACAGCAATTAGCATGGTCACTTGGGTGAGCATGTGGTTAGTGGGCTGCCCATGCTCATCGCGGTGACCATAGGCATCAGTTAGCATGGTCACTTGGGTGAGCATGCATATAGTGGGCTGCCCATGCTCACAGCTGCAAATAGTGGGCTGCCCATAGGGGTTGTGGGGCAGAGGCGAGGCAAACGGCAATGCTGGAAGGGTCGAGGGATGGTAGGCGGTAAGGGATGAGATGCGATAATGCATGGGCTAATATTTAACCTGATTATGCATGGGCAAAACCAACAAATTCAAGATTAGATTGGGGAAGAGGCACTGACTGGACTTATTACATGACCTGTAAGAGTCATTTTTGGCTTACTGCGAATAGTGACGTCGATTCCCTTTTGCGTGGTTTCGGCCATGGTATGGAGACTCCGGGCGACGTTCGAGCTCTCAGACCGTCGCCTTTTGTAGCTCTCTCGCTGTGGTGATGGTGTGGCCTGTCCCCCCACACCATCCTGCTCTCCACTGATGCTTCCCGGAGATGGCTGCGCCCGATTGGCAGCCGCCCCCCCATTGATGGGAGACTCGCTGCCGCGTCTAGCCCCTCCAACTCCCGATGGAGCGGACTGACCTCGGTCCCGTCCAGAACCCCCCGTTCCTTGCGAGCCAGATGGTGCCGTATCCATCCCACTAGAGCTATTGGGCCCCTGCGTTGAAGGACGGCTTTCGCGTTGGGTGAAAGCATCTGGGTCGGATGAAACGCCTTGTCCAGATGTCTCGTTTTCAGTCTCCCAAATGCCTGGGTCATTGGTGAACTCCTGGGAGGCATCGTCCCCCGTCATAGCATTTTGTCCTCGGTCGCCATTCTCAAGGACCAGCACCTCCGCAAGGGGCAGCCAAGGGGCTGTGTGCCTCTTCCAACGTTTCAGGCTCTTCCACTTGGGCTGGTTCTTGATCTTCTGCATGAAGGGAAGCTATTTCTCACAGACGGGTGATTGCAAATATTATTGGAGCAGAGGTCGATCTAAGCAAAAAGACCAGAGAGAATTAAGAACAGGATGCCGTCAGCTTGAGAGACCATGCAGTTAATGGGCTGACTGCCCATGCTCACGGCTGCGAGCGTGGGCTGCCCAACTGCATGGTGACTTATGGGACCATGCAGTTAATTGTTAACACTGCCCATGCTTACAGCTGCAAGCATGGGCTGCCCAACTGCATGGTGATTTGGGGGACCAGCTGCGAGCATGCAGATAAGGGGGGGAAGTATAATGAGGGCACACCACATGTGAGATACCCACGTTAGGGTCTGGCTTGAGGGTGTTACGTTCAGGGTCCCAATTCACACCCGTTCCAAGCTCATGCTGGAGGTATTTTTTTTTTCCCTGACCCACCCCCTGACGATCTTCAGTCTGTCTTGGAGAGTTCTCAAATGGTACCCCAATTCCGCATGGTGCGACTGCCACACTGTGAAAATATCCTCCCAACATTCGATTGGGTCAGACAGATTTTGCTCTGCCTCTTTCATAACATCATGGATGATCAGCGAGAGATCGGTTGTCTGATCATTGTCCCACTTAGTGCAGACACCAGTAGTGGAGTCAGTGGTAAACGTGCTGTCATCTCCTTCAGTTTCATCATCAGACTCTCCCTCACGCCTGTCATGAAACCTAGGCACCGGTGACATTGACGTCTGACTAGGACGCCGAGACTGCGCAGGTCGACGTGTGGGGGAAGGCCCAGCGGTTGAGAGTACGGGGATTGGACTGCAATCAGCACGGCGCCCAGATTCACTATTCTCGGATGCATCGGGATTAGAGGCCGGCGTTTGTGGACCGGTCTCACTGGATGATTGCATGGAAAGATGTTCCAGTCGGTGCACCAGGCTAGGACGCAAGGACTCTTGACTTTGGCCGGTTTGCGACGATAAGGGCTCCATCCCCGACAAGGGTTGCAACTACGTGTATAGGAATGGGAGCGGGGGGGGAGGTGGGGGGGGGGGGGGGGAGGGGAGGAGGGGGGGGCGCGGGGCAGAGAGAGATGAGATGGGTGGAGATGAGGGCGGAGGGAAGAGACGAGTGCGGGAGGGCGGACGGGAGGGGACGAGGGCGGACGGGAGGGGACGAGGGCGGACGGGAGGGGACGAGGGCGGACGGGAGGGGACGAGGGCGGACGGGAGGGGACGAGGGCGGACGGGAGGGGACGAGGGCGGACGGGAGGGGACGAGGGCGGACGGGAGGGGACGAGGGCGGACGGCAGGGGACGAGGGCGGACGGGAGGGGACGAGGGCGGACGGGAGGGGACGAGGGCGGACGGGAGGGGACGAGGGCGGACGGCAGGGGACGAGGGCGGACGGGAGGGGACGAGGGCGGACGGGAGGGGACGAGGGCGGACGGCAGGGGACGAGGGCGGACGGCAGGGGACGAGGGCGGACGGGAGGGGACGAGGGCGGACGGCAGGGGACGAGGGCGGACGGGAGGGGACGAGGGCGGACGGCAGGGGACGAGGGCGGACGGCAGGGGACGAGGGCGGACGGGAGGGGACGAGGGCGGACGGCAGGGGACGAGGGCGGACGGGAGGGGACGAGGGCGGACGGCAGGGGACGAGGGCGGACGGGAGGGGACGAGGGCGGACGGCAGGGGACGAGGGCGGACGGGAGGGGACGAGGGCGGACGGCAGGGGACGAGGGCGGACGGCAGGGGACGAGGGCGGACGGCAGGGGACGAGGGCGGACGGCAGGGGACGAGGGCGGACGGCAGGGGACGAGGGCGGACGGCAGGGGACGAGGGCGGACGGCAGGGGACGAGGGCGGACGGCAGGGGACGAGGGCGGACGGCAGGGGACGAGGGCGGACGGCAGGGGACGAGGGCGGACGGCAGGGGACGAGGGCGGACGGCAGGGGACGAGGGCGGACGGCAGGGGACGAGGGCGGACGGCAGGGGACGAGGGCGGACGGCAGGGGACGAGGGCGGACGGCAGGGGACGAGGGCGGACGGCAGGGGACGAGGGCGGACGGCAGGGGACGAGGGCGGACGGCAGGGGACGAGGGCGGACGGCAGGGGACGAGGGCGGACGGCAGGGGACGAGGGCGGACGGGAGGGGACGAGGGCGGACGGCAGGGGACGAGGGCGGACGGGAGGGGACGAGGGCGGACGGGAGGGGACGAGGGCGGACGGGAGGGGACGAGGGCGGACGGGAGGGGACGAGGGCGGACGGGAGGGGACGAGGGCGGACGGGAGGGGACGAGGGCGGACGGGAGGGGACGAGGGCGGACGGGAGGGGACGAGGGCGGACGGGAGGGGACGAGGGCGGACGGCAGGGGACGAGGGCGGACGGGAGGGGACGAGGGCGGACGGCAGGGGACGAGGGCGGACGGGAGGGGACGAGGGCGGACGGCAGGGGACGAGGGCGGACGGGAGGGGACGAGGGCGGACGGCAGGGGACGAGGGCGGACGGGAGGGGACGAGGGCGGACGGCAGGGGACGAGGGCGGACGGGAGGGGACGAGGGCGGACGGCAGGGGACGAGGGCGGACGGGAGGGGACGAGGGCGGACGGGAGGGGACGAGGGCGGACGGCAGGGGACGAGGGCGGACGGGAGGGGACGAGGGCGGACGGCAGGGGACGAGGGCGGACGGGAGGGGACGAGGGCGGACGGCAGGGGACGAGGGCGGACGGGAGGGGACGAGGGCGGACGGCAGGGGACGAGGGCGGACGGGAGGGGACGAGGGCGGACGGCAGGGGACGAGGGCGGACGGCAGGGGACGAGGGCGGACGGCAGGGGACGAGGGCGGACGGCAGGGGACGAGGGCGGACGGCAGGGGACGAGGGCGGACGGCAGGGGACGAGGGCGGACGGCAGGGGACGAGGGCGGACGGCAGGGGACGAGGGCGGACGGCAGGGGACGAGGGCGGACGGCAGGGGACGAGGGCGGACGGCAGGGGACGAGGGCGGACGGCAGGGGACGAGGGCGGACGGACGAGGGCGGACGGCAGGGGACGAGGGCGGACGGCAGGGGACGAGGGCGGACGGCAGGGGACGAGGGCGGACGGCAGGGGACGAGGGCGGACGGCAGGGGACGAGGGCGGACGGGAGGGGACGAGGGCGGACGGCAGGGGACGAGGGCGGACGGGAGGGGACGAGGGCGGACGGGAGGCGACGAGGGCGGACGGGAGGGGACGAGGGCGGACGGGAGGGGACGAGGGCGGACGGGAGGCGACGAGGGCGGACGGGAGGGGACGAGGGCGGACGGGAGGCGACGAGGGCGGACGGGAGGCGACGAGGGCGGACGGGAGGCGACGAGGGCGGACGGGAGGCGACGAGGGCGGACGGGAGGCGACGATGGCGGACGGGAGGCGACGAGGGCGGACGGGAGGCGACGAGGGCGGACGGGAGGCGACGAGGGCGGACGGGAGGCGACGAGTGCGGACGGGAGGCGACGAGGGCGGACGGGAGTCGACGAACGCGGTGGCCACGAACGCGGATGAGAGGCCCACGAACGCGGATGAGAGGCCACGAATGCGGATGAGAGGCGACGAATGCGGTTGAGAGGACCTAGGAATGCGGATGAGAGGCGATGAATGCGAATGAGAGGCGACGAATGCGGATGAGGGGCGTGAATGCGGTTGAGAGGCGACGAATGCGGATGAGAGGCCCACGAATGCGGATGAGAGGCCCACGAATGCGGATGAGAGGCCCACGAATGCGGATGAGAGGCGACGAATACGGTTGAGAGGCAGTGAATGCGGATGAGAGGCCGAGGAATGCGGTTGAGAGGACCTATGAATGCGGATGAGAGGCGACGAATGTGGATGAGAGGCGACGAATGAGGATGAGAGGCGACGAATGCAGATGACAGGCGACGAATGCGGTTGAGAGGCCCACGAATGCGGGTGAGAGGCGATGAATGCGGATGAGAGGCGACGAATGCGGATGAGAGGCTACGAATGCGGTTGAGAGGACCTATTTAAACCCAGGGGTCACAGCTTTCAAGCTTAGGAAGGATGGTTGGGACTGAAAACGCGATTGGCCCGCGAACTTAGGCTGTGTCGAGATTGTATGACGAACTTCGCGTACTTGCGGGGATTCGCCAAAGTTACCCGGGTTGAGATGCGACTTGAACACCCCCACACATCAGTCGCACAAAGCCCCAAGGCGACAACTCACACCAACCCGTCTCACAATTTCAATTTCCAACACAGCGTCACTTCATTGTTGTGGACTATGCTAAGCCGACTACTAGTAGCTACGAAGTTTAGCGCAGAGCACGGGCGAAGCCGAGAATTGAAGTGAGGATGCGTTACCGATGATAGCGTTACCCAAAGCTACGCACGGCATCATTGCCTATCGCGGCGAAATCGAAGTGACCTTCAGCACGCCTCGGAAACGCCCGTAAGTACGACAGCTCGCAAGCCGCGCGTTTTGTCTCTTACTCCGCGAGTACGGCACCTAAATGCGACGTCGCATTGCCCTGCAGGTCATATTGTGACCTAAATGCGACGTCGCATTGCCCTGCAGGTCAAATCGTGACCTAAATGCGACGTCGCATTACCCTGCAGGTCAAATCGTGACTTAAATGCGACGTCGCATTGCCCTGCGGGTTCCCACGACTTTCGCACTCCCGTACCTTTTGTAATTCGAGATTTGCGCGCGCCCGCAATGCGGTATGTTGGCTAGTTGGCGGGCTGCGCGCGTCTAATAGTGGCTCTTAGAACTCGGGACTTTGCACAGGCGTTTTGGGACAAGTTTCTCTCCCCTGTGCTCTCCTGCCTACGCAGGTTGGTGTTGGGCGACCAAGCTGTGCGATGAAACCCAATTGGGCTGGAGTCGTTACTACAGTACATTCGTTTGGTGATTGAAGGCGAAGTGGTTTGTGGGGGTCAAAGAATGCTCAGCTGGAAACAGGGTTACACCCAACCAAGCTTAGGAAGGATGAACCAGTTTCGCCTTTCTTGACCCCCGGGTTTTAATGCGGATGAGAGGGGATGAGGGCGGTTGAGAGGCGAGATGTGCGGATGGTAGGTGATGAGTGCAGATGGGAGGTTACATAACGAGTGTGAGGTGAGGGGTGCGTTTGAATATTGTGCACGCACCTTGCGGCCCCTAATCTCTAACGCTATGACCAACCATAGACTATGAAAGGCGAGAACGTGGGGCATATCCAGAATTGGGTTGCTATGACTAACACTTCAAATGCATCGATTGTTAACCCTAATTTAATGCAATTAAAGGTTAAGCGACGCATGTCGCGCGCCCTTGTTCGCGCCACGTAATGGATCTCACCTTTGGTGGGATGACGCTGGGAGGCGCTGGAAAATGGCGAATATAACCTGACAGCTAGTGAGCGGGATAGTCAAGGAGAGAGCTAGCAGGATAAGGGTTGAAAGTTGATTGTTAGAGCGTGGTACACCAAGGTGAAAATCGCGAAAAATGAAGGATCGTCTCGGCGATCCTTGCAGAACAGTGCCTTACCTACCACTGTACGGTGATTACTGTACCAGGTGCTGTACCAACAGAGGGAGGATCGAAATCATTAGTAGTCTACGCTACCCAATCTTTGCATTTTCGAAAAGATCGTGGTGACTACCAATCTCACGACGATCTTTGCATCTCTGTACCACTCAAAGAGTGATCCTTGTTTACGAAAAAACAGACTGTCGCAATTGTATTGCACAACGGTAACACAGTCGCAACTAATCAAAACGTTATGAAATGGAAATTCGAGCCAATGAAGCGGTTGCGTCTCCGTCTGTAACACGGTCAAAATGGTCAATGCAAATTTTATATTCTCGCAACTTCGCGTAATTTCCGGCGACGTCGCCTCGTCGCAGAGGATCACCACTTCAAATCTGCATATGGTACACCTACAAGGATCGCCATGTGCCCCAAAACCTTGCTGTTTGACCACCCATAAACCTGGGGTTGGGGTGATGGTGATCTCAACTACGTGATCCTTGAAAATAGGGCAGGTGTAACACGCTCTTAGGATGTCGAGGGGCGAGTGGTAGGAAGGAAGTTGGATGGGTTACATCGAGATTTTTGTGTGTTTTTTTTTTGTTTTCTGAGTATTCCCTGTACTAAACGAGGGGATTGAACGAGGGATGGAGATTGGATTCATGTATGCTTTGACGGACCCACGGGAATCCAGTTTTCATCCAGTTGTGGGGGGAATGAGGCGTGGGCGATATTCTAGCATGGGCTTCGGGTCGCTTCTTGGGCCCACGTTCGACATTTTTTGGACAATTTTCTTGTCCTGGCCGTTGTGTTTTGCCTGGTTCGTTCACCTCGAACCTGGAGGCCCGACATTTTCATTCTCCACCCCATCCCCTCATGTGGCTGCCGAACATTGCCCAGGGCTCAGTTCGGCAGCCACGGAAGAAGGACGGAAGAAAAATTTTCCCTTCTTCTTTGAAGCTTCTAATCGCATTATCGAGGGCAAAACAGTGCAGGCTGTAGGGTAAAACTTTCGGAAATCGAAGCGCAGGTGTTAAACAGCAGCGACGCGAACACCACCTAAAATCGATTCCGCGCCGTCTTCTGTCCTTATTCTCCCCCCCTTGGCGGAAAGCTTCCGCCCTAGCGAGACGGAAGAAGAAAATGATTCTTCTCCAACACAAGAATCAGAAATTTTGATTCCACAAGATTCACTGTTCACGGGACAAAAACAACACATCGATGTGATGGGTTATCCATACAAACCAGCATTCTCCAATAGCGTATGGTTCTGTCCTTTTTTGTTTGGGGTGAGCCCGCTACAGTGCCCTGGGACATTCGAATGTCCAGGCAAATGTGCCTAGACATGCGGTGCTGTTTGCCAACCTCCCCCTCCAACCTGCGCCACCTCCCCCATGGCGCAGGTTGTCCGCGGAGTGGTCAAACCAGGGTCAAAATTCGTTGACCCTGCTTTGACCCGCACCTCACCTCATATAGGTGAGTGGAGATGTTCAAGGGTGTGAAGTACACATTCATGGAGCTGTAGGGACTATGAGTTGATATGAGTTGTTACAGCCACTATCAAAACTAAGAGACCTTACTCTTATGAGTATGAGTTGTTCAACAGAGTTCCGTAGAAAAGGGAACAACGAAGCTGTCACAATATGGACTGGCAATACAATGAATGACCAAGGATAATATAGCGGGTCAACCTAGCTAGGCGGGAACCTCGGGAGCTAGAGGTTGGTTGCAGGCTTGGCAAAGGAAAGTCGAAGGCGACGCGAGGTTGCTTCGGTGCCAAGGAAATCGGCTGAAAGTGCACTTACGAAGGTGGGGGTTGTACGCGAAGCAGTAAACCCCACTAAGGAAAAGGGGTTTCCCTTACACTTATTATGAGTTGTATCGTGAAGAGAACAAAGAACCGATTTCTTTCGTTTTTGGCAAGCTTATCATATGCCATCCTATACATTTCTCTCATAATCTTTCTAAAACATTTTCCAATCTACCAAAAACCACCAGATCTCTACAAACTCAATTTAACAGTCAATTTGCACATACACGTTTGTATGTGCACATTAGAGGCTAGGTTGGGTTACTTCGTAGAGGGTACATGTTTGGTACTTCTTCATATCAGTATGTCCTCATTTTTTCGTTCTTCTCTTATTGGCATTGTCTCAAAGCAAAAGGTATTTGATTCAAGTCCCCACATCTGCACATGATGGCGCCACAATCGTTGCCGCTGTACTGTGTCATAGGATATCCCAACGAGGGGTGGGAAGACTTGCACTGGGGATGCCCGATTGATCCTAGGGAAGGGTTACAGACTCACTAGCCTGAAGTGATTTGGGCGCACTTATCCATTACTCAATAAGCCCCTTATCCTATTGGCCTAATGGCTGGAATCTGACTACCCTAAACCCTTGGGGTTGCCGGGGGCACAAGACGTGCGGAGCCGTAATTGGAGCAGCCGCTGCAGCAGTCGTCGTTGTAACATGTGTCTGCACTTTGCCTTCTTAGTCTTTCTTACCCCTCGCATGACCGACCACCGCCCCCCTCTTCACATTCTCTCCCGGTCTACGGTACCACGTTTCCACCCCTGGTCTTGACTCCTGCACGTCTTCCTCCTCGGTCACATCTGTTTCCTCCTCTGTCTCCTGACCCAACCCCCGACTCTCACCAATAGGCCCATCGAATGCCAGTGCACTGAGAGCTAGTGGCGCGGCAGTACGGCTGTGTGGCGACAGGCAGGGCAGCAGTGCGGCGCGGCTTGGCGGTAGGCAGGGCGGCGCGGCTCGGTGGCGGGCAGCGCGGGCGGCAGCAACGCGAGGAGCGAGCGGCAGCGGGCCGGGCGCGAGGATCGAGCGGCAGCGGGCCAGGCCTGGCAGCGGGCAGCAGCGGGTGGCAGCAGGCAGGGCAGCGAGCGGCAGCGGGCAGGGCAGCGAGTGGCAGCGGGGGGGAACAGCGGCTCGCAGCAGCGTGTGCAGCCGCTCGCATCGCACGTGCAGCGCGCGGCTGTGTGCAGGAGCTCGCGCAGCAGCGCCGAGTGGCGCGCGGAGTGGCGCGCGGAGTGGCGCGCAGCGTGGCAGAGCACAGCAGCGGCTCGCGCAGCGTGGCAGCGCATAGCGGCGCGCGCAGCAGCACGCAGCGTGGCAGCACGTAGTGGGCAGCAGTGGCGCATGCAGCAGCTGCAGCAGCTCACGCAGTAAAGGTAGCAGTAACTGGCAGTAGGAGCGGCAGCGCACGACAGTAGGGCAGTAATGTAGAGCGCGCACAGAGGTCGGAGCTCGAAGCGCAGACTAGGGCAGGAGGAACGAACCTATTCGATGATACCATGTCGGAGGAATTAACCGGACTAGCAAGGGTTGGGTACAAATAGCTAACCCTAAAAGGCTGTACTCCCTACAGCATGCCTCACTACAGCCTAACACAAATATACATGTATAGTTTGACAATAACGACAGCTTGGCCTCTCTGTATTTAAGGTTTGCAGAGAAACTTACAAATACATAATAGACTTCCCATCAATGCTCAACTCATGCCGGCTATTGCAAAATGTCGAGAATAGTTGTATAACATTATGGAGCTAGCAGCATCTCCTTACTAACACTCTGGACGACGCAACGCTGGTGTTCGCCGCGAAGACTGTTCTGGTGTATTACGGCAGGGATCGCGGTCCCCTGTGACAAACGGTGGCCCGGGTCGCGCACCGTCGTCCGCAAGATGACTCAGCGCAGGAGGAGCGACTGGCTTCGGAGAGCAAGTATCTCCCCAGGGCCGACCGGGTCGATGTTGAAGACTACAACGAGGATGCGGAATAGGATGAAGATGAGCTAGTCGACGAAGAGGCTCAGGGTAATTCATCTGTGTATAGTGCTGTTTTACGATGAAAGCCTATCTACCTCCGTGTA